CGCCACACGGCCCACCACCGTGCCGGCCTTGGCTTCCTCCGACACCGAGTACCGCACCTGCCCCGCGCACAGCGCCCACGCCGCCTGCACCACCACCACCCGCAACAACAAACCACACACACACTCGCCCATCGCCGCCGCCGCCGCCTCCGGCCCCAGCCGCACGGGCCCCGCACGGCTCCCGCCGCCCCCCACACGGCCGCGCTAAGGTCTCTCTGGCAGGGTCGGGCCGCCGTTCTGCTCTCCCGGCGCCGCGCCTGGACCGGTTCGCCGCATCCTTCCTCCCGCTGACGGCACCGTGACAGCGGCTCGGGGAGGAGCTGCTGCCCTCCCGTGTCTCACGGCTCCTTCGCGGCCAACAGCGGCATCTGGTGTCCGATCGCGGCTCCTTCCGTGGGCAGCCGCCTCTTGCCCACCTCCCGCTGCCGCTGCGACTCCGTGCGGGCACGGACCGGCCTTGGCTCCGCCCGCTCGGCTGACGAGCTCCGGAATTTCCCTTCAGAACATTTCCCTTCCTTCAAAGCGGTAAAAATTGTTTTTTCTCTTCTCCTCCTCTTCCTCTTCTTTTCTTCTCTTCTCTTTTTCTTTGCCTTCCTAAAGGCACTTTAATTGTTACGTACATCTGCCAAAGCGTACATATCATTAAATGCCTGTATTAACCCAGGAACCACACGTAGGAGGGTCTTCACTGAATAAAGCCTTTGTCGCTTCTGGTCTCATGACTTTATCTTCCCTATGCATTGCTGAGGAAGCATAACTCAATTTCCTCATTTATGTTTTCTTCTTGAAGGTATTGCAGCTATTTCCTCTACAGAAGAAGACTGTATCTTCCTTCAATAAAAGTAGTCAGGTGTTCAGAACACAAAAATTCACATGGAATTTTTCTGGGTCTAGTGCAGAGACGCTAAAACTAAACTGAAATTGCTTACCTTTTCCTGGCTTTGTGACATGGATGTAGATGAGGAATCCCACACACTCCTTTGTTCTCATACAATAAATAACAGGTCGAGACCATGATTTTAGAAAAAAAACCACTCGTGTCTGTCCACAACAGAATGGTTTTGCCTTTTGAAGTACAGGCCCAACAAAATAAACCGTCACTGCATCCAAATTCCAAAGACTTTCAGCTGCACCAGTGACTCCCTAACTCTGTATGTCTATCTAAACACAACCCACAGAACAGAAATCCTCTCAGAAGGGTGAAATATCTCAAGGAAGCTGAGTTCTCTCATCTTGATATGTGCCAATAAAGTATTTTCTGTACGTTTTATCCCCAACTTGTAGCTGTACGGTGAAGAACAAATTCTTTGTTATCTCTTTAGGCAGGTAACATTCACAGTAAGGCAAAACAATGTGTCCATTACCGATGGAGATAAACAGGACACAGGACAGTCATCCAGCCATGACATAACTGAAGACAACACCCTAGGGCTGCACCACGGTTCTGGCAAGGTGCAGTTCATCTTATGACAGGTCCCCAGCCTCCCACCTCACCCACTGACATAAATCCATCCGGGCGTTTTCCCTGCAGATCTACAGACACTTTCTGCTGCCCTTCCCTCAGGCTGGGCAGTAACATGCAACAGGTGATTTCACAGAGTAGTGAGATGCTGGTTCTACCACAGAAGAATCAATGATGCAACAGGAGGGGAGGGAACACACAAAAAGCCCACAAACAAACAAACAAAAACCCACCCAAACCAAAACTAAACAAACAAAAAAACCACAAAAACAATCGAACAAACAAAAACACCATATACCAAAGTCCAAAAAAGTCTCCTCGATAGGTCATTTTTAATTACGCCTGATGCTATCTAACAGTTGCCTTGATTTATTTCTAGGTCTTCGTGGTCAGGGCTGTGTTCAAGGATCACTGTTCAAAATTTCAGGGAAGCAGGGCTGGAAAAGCAAACAGGCTTTGTCCAGCTTCTCAAATCCCAGCTGTATTGCCAGCATTTCTGTAGCCATTTCTATGAAGGCAGAAACAAATAAAACCCTAAGCTTTACAGCATTCTCTCGAGGTAAAACTCACCTTAAGAGGCTACAAGACAATGAACCACAGTGATGGCAAGGGGCACGAATTCTGAAATCAAAGAGCACCATTCGGCAGAATGGCTCTCGCTCATATCTCCTGAGAAAATCAAGCTAAGCCACGCTGTCTATGGGGGAATTGGGAGTTTCAAGAATCCCAGTTTGTAACCACATGATCATCAGAAGGCATACACACAATGAGAAAAATAAAATAAAATAAAATAAAATCATAGTTTATTTTTTAAAGTATTCTCAGGGAAGGGAAAAATAAAACAAAATAAACTCAAATAAATTTTAAAACCCTAAACATCAAAAAATTACAAAGCCTACAACTGCAAGGTACAAGGAACCACTCAGGTCAGAAATCAAACTGAGGTGCTTCTACAAATACATCAATCCACCATAAACAAGTCCTCTAACAGTACATCTTGCCTGATACAGCACTATGGCTGCACATTTTTGACATCTACTTTCGTTCGTGTTCTTCTGCCAGTAGGTACCTAATATTAGATAGTACACTTAAATTATACTTAAAAGGGAGAAATGTGAAATAATTTTGTCTTTGCCATGTCCATAGTAATTCTGTAGTTGTTTACAAACTAATACATGCTATGCAAGGTGAACAGGCAAGAACTTTGCATGATTTCTCTTTCAGAGGTGAACCAAAAAGGAAGACAGGCTTCTGATTAAGACTGGAAACGAGCATTTCTCAGGATCCAAACCCAAGAAATTCATTAGAACTGCCCTACGTCTAAAACAGGGAAATCTAAACAAATGAAGACACTCCATCCAAAATAAAAGAAGGCTGAAAAAGGCTAAAAGAGTTGTGATTAACTACACAAATGGCAGTAAAACCAGACCTGATAATACCAGCAAGATAAAGTCAACACTGCAGTTGGGCAGAGATCTTTACCAGCAACCATTACATTTAATAGCTCATCAGGGGATCTCAAAGTGTCAGAGTGTGTGATGTATCAAAGATGAGATATCACCGTGCGGAGCAGAGTTAAAATACAGGCCTGCTGACAACTGCAGAAACAGCTGATGATTCACTCTGAAGACCTAAGCGGGAAAGCGGCAAAAGATTTTGAATGCAGGAGACTACAAAGTAGAGCAGATGAGGAAAAAAGATGTTGCTTCAACAGAGACTGTGACTGATTCTGAAACAATCAGTGAAGGTCATGAAATTACATATTTGACACAGAAAAGAAATTGACGTGCATATCTCAGCTCCATTCTCAGTGCCAGTCAAAAAGGTAAGACCTCTGAAACGATGTAAGACAAAAGGTATTTCATTAAAATTTGAAGAAATATGGAGTGCAGCAAGATCTGAGTATTTTGTACAGTTCCCCTTCATAACACGGTCAGAGGAAGAGAGAACACGATACTGGGTATAAAAAACCTGCAACGGTGTAATATATAACAAAGCACAAAGACGAGAGAAAATGCAAAGAGAAGTCAGAGTGTAAACAGCCGCCAAGCACCAACTATCCTCAGGCAGAGAGGGCAGAAACTGTCTCCAAAGCACATCGGCGCAGGAAGAGGGGAAAAAAAGGGGCAGAAAAGGGGAGGAAGGGCCACTGACCGTGTCGAGGAGAGCGGGAGGCTCCTGCTGCGTGTCCTTGGCCGCGGCGCCGGGCGGCGGCGGGAAGTTGGGGCTGAAAACCATCAGGTCGCTCTTGGCCGCGCCCTCCGCCACGCACAGGCTGCGGCTCTGGCGCTGCGAGTACGACCAGCTGCCCACTTCGCTGGCGC